TATTATCATATATTATAATTATATAATATATATTATTTATAATAATATATATAATAATATAATATATATAATAATATATAATATATATATATATATTATATATTATTATATTGTATTATTATATTATTATTATTATTATTAGCTGCTACAGTCTAGGAAACAGGTAGGAGAGGGGAGAGGTGGAGTGGAGTGAGTCTCTGTTTATCCTAAAATGATTCATTTGAATAAGGGATGTCCCGATCCAGCTTTTTCCCTCCCGATCCCGGCCTATCAGAGCATGTGTTAAAGTCTAAAGTTATTTATCTACTTACTCAGTTGTCAGACTCATGTTGAACAGGGATTTACTCTGATAACAACTTATTGGTTAGGACACAGACCTGTGGGTTACAGATGCTAATGCTAATGCTAATGCTCGTGTGGGATTGGATTTTTAAAAAAAACTGGATCTGGAGTCTGGATCTGCATTTTCTCCTGCCGGCCGATTTGCATTTTTTTTTAAATATCGGCGGCCGATCCAGATCCAGATATCGGATCAAAACCAGCTTATTAGAGATACCAAATAAAATACAAAAGAGGAGCTGCTGATCATTCTGTGATTTTGACTATATTATGAAGAGTTCATTGAGAAGAAAAACTTGGGAACAGTTTTGTTTCTCATAGTGATTTAGTGCTTCTGTCATGAAAATATTGTAATTATATTATGAAATCTCTTGATTCTTTTAAAAACCCGGCTACCAAATAATAATAAATAATAATAAAGACACACAACGTCTCACCTGTCGGACATCTGTTTCCCTCCACGGCCGCCTCGTCCCCCCTGAAACAGCAAAAGCACAGAGGTTCAGGACATTAGAGGTCTGAATTATATTCTGTTTTTAAAGTAGTGCACAGTTTTTAATTTTTACATTTATTTAATAGAATTTAACCGGCAGCTGACATGCTCACAAATATGATTAAACTTCTCAGTTGGAAGTCGCCAAAATACTAGAACGAAATAAATAATTTGCATAATCCAGCTTTCTAAACTGTCACAAGACAGATTTTAACGCTTTGAAATTAACTTTTTTTTTTCTTTTTTTCCCCCCTGCTAGCATAATGTATAAAAAATATAATCCCTGTAGTAATTAACCCTTTAAAGCCTGATCCAAAAATAAAACCAAACAGAAATGTATTTTCTATTGGTTTGAATTCCTTATTTGGCCTTTCAACAAAATATGTAAAAAGAAAAAAGAAAAATACATTTTTGATATTAATAATTTATTACTATGCGATAAGTCAAGATTATGTTTTGTGTAGTCTTCTGCCCCCTGTTATCAGGTGTATCTGATTGTGTACAATAGGATTTTGAGCAAAGTTTTTATCATTTACATCTGGAACAGTCTTCCTCTGAGCCCCACACTGATCAGCTTTAAAGCTCAACTCAAATTATGGATGAAAGCAAACCAGTCATGTGACCACTAAACTCTTAACATTTCCTTGTGATGCTTATATTGTTTATTATATGTTCTTTTTTATGTATTTGCCTGCCTAGGGACTACGGATGAAAACTAGCTTTGTAGCTATAATCCGGCATATTTACATTTGTTTTTGACTGATGTTCATTAATGAGCTTTGTCCCTATTCAAATAAATAAATGAATTCAATTAAATTAAATTATGCAAAAGGAGTCAGACGCAAAACATTTCAGAAACGGT